TCAAAGTGTATGCCATACATACTGTATATTAATACTGAGGCTCTGTGCCATTGGCACATATGCACTTTTAGTGCTGGTCTGTAAAGGTTTAGGAGCTGCAAATTTCAATGGAGGAGTTAAAAAAAAAAGAAGAAGAAGTATTAAAACCTGCAGTCACCTAAAATCGAAAGGATTAGATTATAAAACAATTTCTGCAGAAAACATTTAATTCTTTACTCTCCAGGATAGCAATAATAAAGTGCATATAAAGGAACTGCAGCCCACATCCTATTTTTTTCCCCATCAAATGCTATAGATGTTGTTTAGGATATTGAAGAAATAAATTCTTCTAATAGTACTTGACAGCTACTAATCTAATCCAGCTAAATTCTTTCAGTACTTTTTATTTGGATTCATGGCTTGCTTACCTTTTGTCCTCGGAGCCTGTAACAATGACATTTATCAGCTGTAATGCAATCTATTGACATCTTGTCACTGTTAAAGTGCTTGCATGCTGCACTGGGCAAGTGCCAGTCTAGAGATTCTGCTTGGAAAGTTTTGCGACCCGAGTCCTATACGTGGCGGCGCTCTTCCGGAAGGCGGGGGGGGATGGGTTAGTGTGTGTGCTGACTGGACGGGCAACTGCAAGGGTGGTGGTGTCGTGGGTACTGAAGGGGTCCCATTAGGTTTGAGGATAGCTGGGTGGAGGCTGGTTGGATTTCTACGTTGTGGAGCGCTGGTGGCGGCGGGTTGATGCGTGCTGGTGCCGAGGCGGGTGCAGATGCTGTAATGTCCGGTCTGGCCGAAGGTGGTGTGCAGGGCGTCCCAGACGTGGGACGGAAGTTCCTATCGTTATGGCAACGCGTTTCGAAGACGTAGTCTTCCTTGTCAAGCCAGGGTGAGGGGAAAAGTGATTTGAGCGGCAGATTTAAAACGGACGGTGGGGGCGTAGTTATGACGTAGTTGTGACGTCACTTGGTAGGGGGTGTGTCCAAATTTCATTCGGAGATGCTGGGCGTGGGGGAATAGGTTAAAGGACAGAATTGTATGTGCAAGATAGATGAAATACTATCGGGCTCGGGTGCTGATTATCAGTTAGATGCTAAAGGGAGGTAGTCTCATTAAATTATGGTGCTGATTTCTGCAGAGATTCTGCTTACATTTTATAATGTAGCCAGCATTATTTGTATAAAAAGTGTTTTGTTTACTAGACCATTAAAGATGGACTATTTAAGGTTTCCGCATTAATGCAACAATGTTCGAATGAGGAACGGAAAGGCCATGCAAAAAGCCAAACACATTTTAAGAAAACCATGTTAATCACGGGTTACATGGCTCTCATGGTATAAGTTTGCTGCCTGAATGATACAAGTTAGGGTGACCAGAACTTCATTTCAACGCCTGAGACAGGTCTGCAATCTTTTGTACGCCTTGTGATAAACCATTTTTGACTTTTGTTTTATTCTGCGTGTTTCTTTCCCCTTCTTATTTTATATTAATTATGTACAGTGCCCATAAATCTTATTTCCTCCCTTGTAAGCTTTATGTTTCATGTAGAACATTGAATCACAGTGGACTTTTTTTTTCTTTTAACACTAATCAACAGAAATATATTCTTTCAAGCCTAATTCCAGTTGAAAATTGATACTGTCGCTCTATCCAGCAATTGTCCGTCCTCTTTTGGGTTTAAGGATACCCAGCTACAAGTGCACCGGTGAGAGGGGGATGTTGGCTTTGGTTTATAAATCTTATATATCATCCAACCAAGAGCATAATCTTAAAAATGCATTCAAGTACCTTAACAATTAACAAAAATGTATCTTATTTGTGCATAGACTCTCAAATCTCTGAATTGGTGCTGACACTGTCCTTCCTTCTGGAGGGTGGCTACTTTTGTTCCCCATGGTATCTGTGTGTGTTGTAAAGTAGTCACCGCTCCAAGGTCACTCCTGTGATGGACTACATTCTCAATACAAATTATTAAGAGAAACCTGAGATTGTAGTCCATCACAGAAACAAGCATGGAGTGGTGGCCACTTTACAACACACACAGGGACCATGGGGAACAAAAGTAGCCACCCTCCAGAAGGAAGGACAGAGTCAGCACCAAATCAGAGATGGGGGATCTACAGCTGAGTGATAACAATACTGGACCTTAATTGTGTAACAGTAAAAGTGGCCATACACCAGGAGATTTTTGGCTGGAAATTTTCATTTCTGCCACGAACCTTCGTTCAATGATAGCTTGAATACCCCACCAAGCATAGTCAAGTGTCAATTTCGGCAATCGTTCGTTAGCCATTCTAACCAACCAATTTTTGACAAACGACGGAAATATTTTTCTTTTGCGCATGTGCTTTGTTATTGCTACGATTTTTGATGAACGAAAATCCCACTGGTTCGTCAATTTTCGTTTGGTCAGCGAAAGATTTTACAACCTGACCGATCGAATAATTTCGATCACAATATCAAAAAGAAAAACAAACTGGTGATGTACCATCAACTGTGAGTTTTGTTTCTAAAGACCGTTCTTGCACGATTTCCAAACGAAAATCGTACAATGTATGGCCACCTTTAAAGGTACTTGAATGCATTTTGACGATTAAACTCGAGTTTAGTGTCACTTTAAATCTTCTAGGATGGCCAAGGCATAGACTAGACCTCAATCTAATAGAGACTTAGTGGCTGGGCTTTAAAACAAAAAAAACTTTTCACTCATGATCTCCAGGCAATCTGGCAGAGCTGGAAAATTTGTGCACAGGGGAATAAGGAAACCTGCCACCTCCAGATATGCAAAGCTAACAGAGACACACAGACTCAAGGATGTAATTGATGCCAAAAGGTGCAGCTACTAGGTAATGAACTGAAGGAGGTGTATACTTATGCAGTCAGTTTTGTATGGTTTTTTTTCATTGCAATTTAAAACAGAGACCTGTTTTCTCTTTGACATAACAGTATTTCTAGGGCTACAACTAATGATTATTTTCATAATCAATTAGTTGATCGATTATTTTTTTCGGTTAAATCGGGAAAAAAATTTAAACACCATCCTTATTTAAAATGAAAGACACAAATGCAGTGTTACAAAGTTTACTTCAAAATAAAACTTCATGCACAATTTTTGCTGTACCATGCATTGCTATACCATGTGTTCCAGTGCAGGCAATCGCACTGTGGGTGGGAGGTGCGTTTAGGGTGGCATTGAAAGGAATGGCACTGCAACGCACCTCCCACAGCAGAATTGGTCAGACTGAAACCGAAAATTACTTTTTTCCCGCCTTTTATAATTTATTTTTTAACTATTGTAAGCACATGGCGCTTGTACAGCTTCAGCCAGGAAAATGACAGCTGCCAGTGGCAAGATTCCGCAGACGGCAGCTGAATTTAAATACAGCAGGTAGTGGGCTGGTGCAATAGCCAGCCTGCTATTGACCATTTCAAATTACAATAGCAGACTGGCTAGTGCGCCCACCCAACGCTTGCCTTGCCCTCCTAACGATTAGTTGATTGCAGCCCTAAGCATTTCTGTTGATCAATGTAAAAAAGAAGAACCTTTTATGCATATGTTGACTCCCTGCTAAAAAACTCAGATTCCAGTCGTAAATTTAGTGAGAAAATACCCCATCACACATACGGGGTCGCTCTCCAGAGTCTGGTCTCTCCTCCAGCATACACCTTTCGCACTCCTGAGTCCTATGTTTGCATGCATTATTCTTTTTCTTTTAAGTATCCATTTCCAGTGTATGTACTTTATAATGTACTTGTTTTGCAGATTTTTCAAAAAGGTTTAAGTATATACCAGGCTAAAAAGATTCAAATCTATTTTCATTAGGTGATGGTAATGTTAAGGCTTATAAAACCTTTTCCCACATAATTTTTTGTAAAGATGTATAATGATTTTCCCACTTCTCTTCACTGGAGTAAGGGCACAGCAGGGAGATGGTCACCTAACACACCCAGAAGTTTCAGAAGCTGAAGATTCTAGTGGTGGCTGTAGCTCTGTAAAATCAGTAGCAATAGAGTGAGTGCTGGTAATTAGTCATTAACCCTGTGTAGGGATTTAGAGGTTACCAAAAACGGTATCCTATAGCACAGGACTAAATATCATAAGCCTAACAGCCCATTCTAACCCTGCCCATGCCATCTGTAGACCCTTGTACATAATGCAGGTCAGCAGCTAAACCTGTGCAGAAGCCACTGGGTGGAGTGCCTGCCCTCTTCTGAGCCTGAAGGGTTGCTCTACATAGGGCCGAATAGAAAAGCCATATGTATAGGTAGAATGGGGATCAAGAGGGGGGAACTGTTAGCTATAAATTAATGAGAAATTAATGAGACCATCTGATATTGCACTTTATAGTATTCCCTAGATAGCATTGATCTGAATCCGAACCAACAACCCCCTCTGATTCTGCATATTCCCCACATGTGCATAGGAACGTCACAGTGTTCTTTTCTCACACTGGGAGACCACAAGAGGCAGCCAGTGGACGTGACTGGGACTACCTGACCTGCATTTTTACATAGCAGAGCAGCTGGTGTTCCCAAAACACTATTACTGGCAATAAGAGGACTGTAATGTAACCAGTGAGGGGGTCCAATAGGGAAGGGTTTCGAATTAGCGAACTGGATTGACAAAGACAACTCCTTTGGCAGGTAAAACAGCTCTAATGTGTGCATTTAGCAGTTAACCTAAACTTCAGCATTATTTTAGCAGTTTTAGAAGTAAAACAAGCATTCCTGAAGCTTACGTAACCAAATATATGATAGTTTACATAGATTAGGATCGTAAACTGAACAGTTAAGAGGACCGACACATATTACAGAGCTATATAAACAATCTTTGAGACCCAGGATGTCAAGGAAGACTTCCTGTTTGTCTCAATGTCACAGACACAGCAAGAAAGCAGAAAACTAGGGCAAACCTATAACTGTGCAAATGAAAACCAGACCGTCAATAACTGTCTGATCCTTCGGTCACAAATAGTAGTTTTCAGAATACACCTTAAACTTTAGATCATTACCTTCCGTGCTTAATCCGGGGCTTGATGTAAACTTTGCAACATCGACAATTTTCACAGCAAACTGCTGCCCGGTTTCTCGGTTGATGCATCTTCGGACAACACTGAATGGACCCCTGCACACAAAAAAGAAAGAAAACAAAGATGTTCATAAATGTCACGTTAAATTCTATACATCCTAAAAATATGTCTTCAGTCTAAAAACAATCCAATATTTTTCTTAGCACAAATAGCAGTGCCACTTAGAACATCCTCTGTGGATTAAACTGCCACTTCAGGAAATTGACTAGATTCTAATTGTTCCTTTATGAAACAGGTTAAAGTGAGTAATGCTTCCTCCACAGTTGAAGCAAAAGGTTATTAAAACATTTAACAGTAATTTACAATATGGTTTCACTGTAGGCTTGAAAAGTAAGCAGATGTAGCAAAGAAATTCTCTTACATGCAAAAATTATAGAATCATATTCATATGGCTACAAAGAATATATGCATATAAATCGTACATTTGTCCTTGAAACAATACATGAACTCCATCAAATTTCTAAACAGGGACTATAAAAACATAAGGACCAAATCGCTAAGAATTAAGAGCATATTTATGGAAATGAGATTGTGATTTATTAGGGAATCAGAAATATTTCATGGATTTCCCATCTGTACATTTGGAAACATGTCAGCCATATTTTGGGTATACATTTCTAATGCATTTTCGCCATGTCTCCTTCATACATCTTAGGTCTTACCCACCAATTTCATAACTACTTTGTACCACTAGATAAGAATACAAAAGAAGATACTAATAACAAATTGCTCGTTTTGAAATGGCCATGAGTGGCTATAAGCGAGGAGATATTTGACCAAGTAAAAAGTGTTCAGAGACGTAGGCACATTCTGAAAACTGTCACACTTTAGTTTGTAACCAACTGTGCTGACAAGTGGAGGAGATGCACACAACTTTCCAGATTTTAGAGGTAGAAAGAGCCGATTCCTATCCGTAGCAAAGTCTTCTATTGCTTAGCAGACACGCCTGACCTTGAAATAAGAGGAGAACCAGCCTGTGTGTATCTTTTTCTTAATTACTACTAGTTTGATTTTAGCAAGATCACAGCTGTAGAAGCATTTTGTATGTGCCATGGTTTTGTTTATATAATGTACTTTATTAATCCCACAAACATCTACTGCAACAGAGTTTCTCATTTTCTAACAGTCTGTTGTAAAATTAGGGAAGTTGTGCAAGCCGCATACAAAAATACTAAAAACTAAACTAAAAATAAGTGAGATCTATTTGCATATCAGTTTTTAAAGTGAAACTCTACCCATTGTGCATGCAGTAATGCAGTGATCGCAGAAAAAAAAAAAACCCTGAATTATAAACACATATTGGGCCCCTTTCACAGCAGCGGTCCAATCGGGTCCGTCTGCCAGTTTTTCCGGCGGCCCCGATTAGTCTATGGGCAGCAGGGTCTAAATAGATGGGCGCCTGTTACAACCGGTTACCCCTGACTCCTGCCACAGCCAGGTCCAGAAAAACCAAAACATTCCATTTCAACGGACTTGATTGTGCTGGATCGGGGGTAACCTGATGTAAATGGACACATGTCCATTTACAACTGATTCCTCATAAACAGACATGGGGTCTGGTCATTTCAGTTTTTTCCTTCACTGCAAGAGTGGTGATACATCCGATCCGTACCGCTCCATGCAAGGATCCTCTCCTGATTAGCCCATGTGAAAGGGGCCCTAGTAAAAAATAAAGACACAGCACTCAGTGGGGGACTAAATGGAGTCAAGCGGAGGCCAGCAAACAGCATGTGAGCAAAAGGAAGATGTTGTAGGATTACACTGCATTTAATATGGTCATTCTGCACTTCAGCAAGCAGCAGTGTAAATCTTGGAGAAAGAAAAAAAAGATTAGATCAGTAAAAAGATTTATCTTCTGAATACTATTTACATCTCCATTAATTTTAAGTGTGTTCCGACAACCTGGCTTCAGAATGCTGAAGCCGGCACAGCTTGTAAAGTACATAGCTGTGCAGCGTTTGTTTTACGCCTGTGCAGCTATGCCACCATTTTTCTAAATGAGCCCCTTACTTTGTTTTCTTCAGAAAGCAGCAACAGCCTGAATAGAAATGCTTGTCCACTGCCAGCGTGCTTTAGAGAAGGATCCTTTCTATGTGTGGAGGCAGTCATCTGGCATGCCCCTCTGTTGAATCAGAGCTAGAGTTCCATCAGCAGGGAGTAAGAGCTTTAGGTCTGACCTCAGACCTCTGCAGAGAGACCACTGCATTCACACAAACAGCAACGGTCCTTTACTGCAGCATGCTACCAGTGGACAGGCTTTTTTTTACTGAAGCTGTGGCTGCTTTATTAAGAAAACAGTCTTACAGAGTGTGTGTATAATAACACATCCACACACGGCAGGTAAAACAGTTGTCATATATGTATTTTACCTGTTCATTTAAAGGTCTACCTTTGGTCCTGCTATATATGCAGTAGAGCCGTAACAACTAATCGATTAAAATCGACGATGGAAAACGTTGTCAACGTTTTCCTTCATCGATTAGTCGGCTATCAATTAGCCTGCTCGCGGCTCCACACACGACCCGAGCAACACGCTTCTGGTGGAAACTTTGGATTTCCCATCACTTATATTCCCAGTGACATTGGTGATCAGGACAATTACCAAGAATGAATTACCCCAATGTAACAATGTCATATTAAGCCTGATAGAGGGACCCCAAAATGTTGCTATTCTTGTGACAATGTCTACTCGTGAAGACGGCTCTGGCACGTATTCCTCTGGTGTGCTGGTGACAATTCATTTCTGCAATGTGGACATGTGCCCGTAATGAAGACCTGCAATACATCAAACCATGTAGCCACCTGTAGGGATAGGTGCTGGGCTAAATGGTGACAGTTTAGTGAAGTCCAATATCAGAAAAAAACACCAATGTTTTGAGGTTATGCAGGCCCCCTTTTTCAAGGCAACAGGGAATCTCTTGTTAAAAAAAAAGGACCTGCATCATCCTTGAAACACTGGTGTTTTTTTCCCCCGATATGGGACAGTAAACTTAGAAGCCATCTTAGAAGGTTAGTTGGTTTGCCAGCATTAAAAACCTGACAGTGGTTCTATCCACTCACCAAATCTAATTGAAAAAAAAATGTGCCATTAGTTATCATCAGGGTCTGCTCCCTGTACATAACCTGCTTACTATTAAACATGGGTCCACCAAAAACCAAAACTAAAACTGTTGTTTTTTTTTTTTTTCAAGAAACCTGTGCACCTGCACACGCTGGCAGGACCACAAAAAAATATATTAAAACACTTGTTTGATACATAGCAGACAAGCTAACCAAAGCAGAAGCGAATGCATAAGTGACAGTACATGAATACTGTAGTCCATTTACATATAAATATTCAGCATTAGCTTTTTCATCCAGTAGTGATTTAGAATGCAGACTGCTTGCCTGGGAGCGCCAGAACCCAGACTGCTGGCATCGTATCTCTATCTTTACAGGCCTCTCAATAAATCAGCTGGAGGTTTGTCTTTTCTGCTTGTGATGTCTCCCATCACCAAGCTGGAATGAGTCAATAAAAAATGGTCATAATAGTAGGGAAGACAATAAAAGCTTGGTGCAATGGTATATTATAAATAGCCATGACTAAAGAGAAATGTGTGACCAGGATACCGTTTTTTGGCAGCATCTGTTAAGAATGTTGAATAAAATGTGAAATTATAAACAATACTATTTTAAACTGGCAGTTAAATTCATTGCAGTGTGTCCGAGTGATGTAGAACGCCTATTTAAGATTGTTCTTGTAATAGGCAGAGAAAACAGATGGCTTTTTAAGAACTAATGTAAAAGGAATCATAATAAAGCTTCATCCAAGCAAATATTGCTTTCTGATTAGGGTAAATTATTGCATCTCGTGTGCAGTGCCAGTATTTAGGCTTGCACAATAAGGATCATAAAAAAATCACATTAAATACACAGCTTTCAAGTGTTATTACAGTAGATCTAAAAGGTTCCTGCATGACCGTGTTAGGGGTCTGCACATGTGTGTAATAACATACTGATAGGATCTAACTTGCCAAAAAGTCATGCGTTTAAAAGCATGTGACCTGAACCGTTACATGTGTTTTTTGACATATGTAAACTGTACAATCTGTTAAATTCTTCTTCCATTCCTCAAGCTTTCCAATCCTAGGAAGAACTTGTGATTACATTCGTACATATGTATATCACACAGAAATACTGACCACGAATGCAGAATTTTCCACTTTACAGAACACAAGGCAGCTGCGTGCATGGGTCCATAAATTACAATACTGCTGTGCTGTGATCCATTAAAAAAACAAAAATCTTTACTATGTACAGGTCTGAACGCAGCATTTACTTTATACCCAGGTGCATAAGACCTAAATAACTCCAGTTACTACATGATACACAAGCCTTATCAATTACATTAAAAAAACTTCCTTTACCCTCCCAGACCGAGTCAAAGCCTCCATTTGTGCTTCACATAATCCTCCTTCCAGACATTGCAGCGTATAGTGGGAGATATTCAGAAGCAATCACTTCAGTCAACCCAAAAAGAAGTGGGCAGGGGTAGGTGTGCCTATCTTTTCACGAAGGCTGTTGATTGCCACGTCTTCCGCAACATTACCACTGTAATGCAGGCTCAGCCCACAAGAGAGTGACAACTCTGCTCTGAATTCAGGAGCAGTGCAGAATCATTGCCACCCCATCACAAGCAGCTGCATTAGGTGGACTACACTGGGAGTATCAACTGGTATTTGTAGGACTTTAAAGTTTTAAGTGCTGCAGTGCATTTTATTTAAATGGAAGACCAAAGTTCTACTTCAATACCACCTAAATAGTAGGGCTGTGGAAATGTGTATAGGCCAATGCCTTGGCTGGCGCTCGTGCAGAAAGTTTCTTGGGCCAATGTAGTTGGATCTGTATGTGCGTTAGAATTAAAATCGAAATTAATCGATTTTAAAAAATTTCGATTAATCGTACACGAACATTTTTAATCATTACCAGCCCTACTAAATAGGTTTCCATATTGCAAAATGTAATTGCAATTTAACATGAGAAAGATGTGAGAGTT